ATATATATATATATATATATATATATATGTATATATATATATATATATATATATACATATATATATATATATATATATATATATATATATATATATATATATATATATATATATATATATATATATATATATATGTGTGTGTGTGTGTGTGTGTGTGTGTATGTGTGTGTGTGTGTTTTAATGATTTAAAGCATTATTTACAAGCAGTGCAACAAGGATTTGTTAGATGACTAAAATACATAAAACAACACTTAAAACCTGCTGAGCATTTGTTACAGTGTTTATTATTAATCTTTTGTTATCACTAGTTTAAAAAGTGCAGGCCTTTAAAGTTCTTGTTAGCTCAAATCTAATTTAAAAAAGATTAATATTCAGAGTTTTTTTCAGTTAAGATGAGGTTGACTAATTTTGGTTAATGTGTTTTAGTCAGCTAACATGTAAAAATACATATTTTTAAATTATACATACTTAAAAAAAATAAATTATATATATATGTATATATATATGTGTGTGTGTGTGTGTGTGTGTGTGTGTGTTTTAAAATAATCATATTTACTAACCACCTTCTTTTAATGATTTAAAGCATTATTTACAAGCAGTGCAACATGCATTTGTTGAAATGTTATATGTTAGATGACTAACATACTTACACCAAACCTTAAAACCTGCTGAGCATTTGTTATAGTGTTTATTACTAATCTTTCTTTTTATTATTAGTTTAAAAAGTGCAGGTCTTTATTATAGCTCATGTTTGCTCAAATCTAATAAAAACATTCACTTTTAATTCTATTAATGTATTAAATGTTGAAATTAAAATTAGATTATTATTAAGAGTTTTTTTCAGTTAAATGCAGTTGACTAATTTGATCAAATTACACTGTTGTAAATACACAAAAGGTAAACTTTATCTCAATGTCTATTAACAAAAATGATATTAAAACATAAATAATGCATTTTCTTTTAGGGTCATTTCTATATTTTCTAATATAATAATATACTAATACTAACTAATATAACAGCTTCCCACTGTTTGGCTTCATAATTTAATCTATGATTGATTGTATATTCTAATTTCGTATATTAAAACTGCACATTAAATAGTTTAAAGAATTGAATTACAATTCAAAATAAAATAGAAATAATGAAACATTAAAAGAAATCTAGTAGAAAAAAATCAATAAGATTCTTTATTTTGTTTTTATAAATCAGATTGAAAAGGCACATTCAGTATACACATTCTTTTGACATATATATATATATATATATATATATATATATATATATATATATATATATATATATATATATATATATATATATATATATATATATATATATATATATATATATATATATATATATATATATATATATATATATATATATATATATATATATATATATATATATATATATATATATATATATATATATATATATATATATATATATATATATATATATATATATATATATATATATATATATATATATATCTATATATATATATATATATATATATATATATATATATATATATATATATATATATATATATATATATATATATATATATATATATATATATATATATATATATATATATATATATATATATATATATATATATATATATATATATATATATATATATATATATATATATATAATTTATTTGTGTTTATTTCTGTGTTTGTTTATTATTTTATTGTTTAATATTTTATTTATTTTTATTGTAGTTAATGACTTAAAACTTTTATTTATTTATTTGTGTTTATTTGTTTGTTTATTATTTAAATTAGTTATTATTTTGTTTTGTATTTCAAAAAAATATATATATTTTTATTGTGGTTAATGACAAAAACACAATAACCAATACTTAAAACTTATATTTATTTATTTATTTATTTATTTGTGTTTATTTAATATTTAAATTGTTTATTTTTATTTTTTTATTGTAGTTAATGCCTAAAATACATTAAACAATACTTTATTTGTGTTTATTTCTGTTTTTTTATTATTTTAGTTATTTATTATTTTATAAATTTTTTATTAAATTTATTTTTATTGTAGTTAATAACGAAGATACAATAACCAATACTTAAAACTTATATTTATTTATTTGTGTTTATTTCTGTGTTTGTTTATTATTTTATTGTTTAATATTTTATTTATTTTTATTGTAGTTAATGACTTAAAACTTTTATTTATTTATTTGTGTTTATTTGTTTGTTTATTATTTAAATTAGTTATTATTTTGTTTTGTATTTAAAAAAATATATATCTTTTTTTATTGTGGTTAATGACAAAAACACAATAACCAATACTTAAAACTTATATTTATTTATTTATTTATTTTTTTTTTATTTATTTGTGTTTATTTAATATTTAAATTGTTTATTTTAATTTTTTTTATTGTAGTTAATGCCTAAAATACATTAAGCAATACTTTATTTGTGTTTATTTCTGTTTTTATTATTTTAGTTATTTATTATTTTATAAATTTTTTATTAAATTTATTTTTATTGTAGTTAATAACGAAGATACAATAACCAATACTTAAAACTTATATTTATTTATTTGTGTTTATTTCTGTGTTTGTTTATTATTTAAATTAAAATTAAAATAAAATCCTATTTTTA